AATCTCTCTTGATGCAGGAATGTTCTGACCTACAATTGATGTTCCCCAATAGGAGAAATCAATTTGAGCTGCACCCTCCTTGATCATCTGATGAGAACTGGAGAATGAGACAGATAAATGCAATAATCCGATCTAGTGAAGGGCCACATATTTTAGCTGGGGGTCTTAATTCCTCGATGAAACAGATTACTCGATTGAGAGATGGACAGATATCGTGAAGGTAAATCCAGTATAATTATAGAAGTTCTTAATTGAATCATACATATTTGCTCAAAAAAAAAAATTGAATCATGCATAGAATAGGTAGCTTGTCTCGCCCACAAGGTGAGAAGAGTTGAGAACAAAGTGGTGAACTGTTGTGTAACGCAGGCATTCACATTGTGCCCATATTTATTTTTCAGTACTATGAAGAGATGGGAAAGCCGACGCCAAAGGCTGAGGTGATGAGATATTTAAAGAATCGAAAATATACTGATGCCAAGGATTTGGCAGGGGAATGCGAGTCTGTAGTCATGATCGCCAAGGACAGAGTATGAACCCAACCCTTTACTTACTCTGACTAAGATTTGCCTGATGAACTAAAATTATTTCTCTTAACAATTCATCAACATAGTATGTGCTACTGCTACAGGTGTGCAGGGTACATGCAAGTATGGCACTCGGGTGGATTACATACTGTCATCGCCGGACTCGCCATACAAGTTTGTCCCCGGCTCATACTCGGTTTTCTCTTCAAAGGGACTTCTGATCATCATATAGTGAAAGTCGATGCAGTAAAAGTAGATAGCAGTCCTCAACAACATGTGAATAGGAAACAAAGGCAACCCAAACAGAGAGTTTAAAGATAACAAGCTCTTCTTCAACAAAGGGGTGTTGAAAACCCAAACATGAGACAGATAGATTGGTATATTAACAACTTCCTTATGTTTTTTCCAAGCTGCGGACATCAATGCATCGATCCTACCGCTGCTTTTGGTGCTTCTATCACCATTGTATGACTGTCGACACCAAAATTAGGTGTCTTCATTGTGAGAAAGGAGAAAGAAATCTGTATCTGGTTTATTTTCCTCTGTTATGCAAATCAAATTTGGGTCTGTACACTAGTTTTGGAAGAGATTACAGAGATAGATCATTTCTGGGGACTTAGGAGACTATTTTTTCATCGAAGCATTTATTGTATGCCCTGATGATCTTTATCAGCTCTCTGAATTAATCAGGACCCAAATCGTTTGCATCAAGCGTTATTAAGTGCTCTTGAGTGTTATTATCAAGGACCAGAACAAAATTCAACGCAGAACATGAGTCTGTACATGATCCTATGGTCTGATATCGTGTGCTACAACTGTGGAAGTCTCCATGTTAATTATCAAAAAACATGTTTGGGAAGCAAAAAGTAATTATCATCCTCTATTTATACTAGAGCCGAAAGAACAAACTTCCAATATATACGTAATATCTCACTTTACAATGGTTGTCAAAGATTCCAATTTCAAGAATCACATAATCTATCTACATTAACAAATGAACTGAAGTGGGTAATTCTAACTCCAAAAACTACATCTGAATCAATAAACGAATCACCATGGTGAACATTACAGTCTATGGAAGGAAACAGCATGACCATGCAAATCAAACGGCTTCTATCTACCACCAGAATTCTCCCCTTCTTCCTTGGGAGTGGAAGGGCGGTCATTCTCAAATTTGTATAGCTGGTAGCCAGCAGAAGTAGACAGTTGGCCAGAGCCACCACTGCTCACAGATCTCTCAATATCATCAATATCCGCAATAAGAGGAATCGGCCTCTCAGGTATCGAGGGAACTGGTACATCTGTGTCCAATATCTTCACAACCTGGTCCATTGTTGGCCGAGCATACAATTGTGGATGAGAACAAAGGACAGCCACCAACACATACTTCTCCATAACCTCTGGAGGGCCTATATTCGGCATACCATCTTCAATAACATCCAAAGCTCTCCCTTGCCTCACCAGTGACCAAGCCCAATCAGTTACAAGATCCGGTTGCCCATCGTTATCCGAAACAAGAGCCTTCCTGCCACTCAAAAGCTCAAGAAGTACTACACCAAAGCTGTAAACATCAGTCCTTTCCGTCAACCGCCCATACAATGCATACTCAGGGGCAACATAACCCATTGTCCCGGCCACCCTAGTGCTCAAATGGGTCATTCCCTCTGGTGTAAACCTTGCCAGGCCAAAATCCGCCACCTTGGCCTCAAACCTCTCATCCAAAAGTATATTACTAGCTTTAATATCTCTATGCATTATCGTTGGCTGTGCCCCATAATGCAAATAAGCCAACCCCCTCGCCGTCCCAAGTGCAATCTTTTGACGAATGGGCCAACTCAGCTTGTTCTCCACCAACCCAAAAAGATGATCATGAAGACTCCCATTCTTCATCAAATCACACACAATTATCCTCTGATGACCCTCATAAGAAGTTGTAGCAGTACAATAGCCTCTCAAAGCGACAAGATTGACATGCCTAACACTAGCAATAACCTCCACTTCATGCGTAAACGTCGCATCACCGGCAGCTGAACAATTCTTGAACCTCTTCACTGCCACTTCAGACCCATCCGGCAACACACCCTTGTACACGTTCCCATACCCTCCTCTCCCAATTATATTATCCCTCGAAAAGTTCTTGGTAGCCTGCTTAATTTCCTCAAATGTGAACCTAATTAATGTTGTACTTCCACTAATGGACTCCAATCCAGAACCCAAATCATTCTGATTGATCACAATATTCCTCTTTTTCCTTAAATTCCTTTTCTTTCGCCAACACCAAAACCCTAATAATCCCAGAAATATAATCACAACAGAAACTGTCACAACTACAACAATTACAATCGTTTTCTGTTTGTTTTTGAATTGGACGATGTAAAATCGAGGGAAAACAGACACTTGGCAGTACCTTCATCGGTAGGACCTAGCTGGTTTGCGAAAGCTGCGGCGTAAATAAACGGGTAGGCCGTACAATCGGAGACGTTTCCGACGGACGGACCGGTTAAGTACGAAGCTCGAAGCCTCGAGAGACTGGTAGTGCAAGTAGCACAAGGAGAGCCATTCAAAAGGGACTGGTTACAAGCTGAAACGACATCGTTTAAGGATGCTCGAGTGACGTTGCCTTCGAACTCGGCACGAGTGGTGATGTTCATACAGCCTTGGGAGATCCAACTGGTTTGGAAGCCGCAGGAGCGACGGATGTCGAAATTGGGGACGAACTCATGGACCAGCGTTTCGTACGAGTCCCAACACGACTCGGCCGAGTCCAACGGTGGGAGGAATGACCCGGTGAGTCGAAGGTACTCAGACTGGACGAGTCTGAGACATTGGCGGATGTACTGACACTCTGTGGTGGTATCGAGACTGGGCCGTCTTGAACCCTGTACCAGCTTGCGAAGAGCGTCGAAATTCAAAGGGCATGATGATACGGTGCCGTTTTGGAGTAGGCTGCGAGCTGAGAGAGAAGGAATAACCAGTGATTGAAGAGAGATAAAGAAGAAGAGGAGATGAGTGTAAGAGTGCATTATGGTTTGTTCATGGAGGTTGATTTCTGAAACTGAGAGATGGTCTTGGGGAAATTGAGGTGGAGATGGTACGAATTGACTTTGAGGCCATTATTTAGCAGCCAAAATGGAGTTTTAAGGTGAAGACGACGAAGAAGCAGGTTCTGAGAAGGTGTTTTTTAAAGAGAAATTCGAGAATGGAATGGTCAAATTGGGGCCCATCAAGACCGAATATTTGGGCCTTGATTATTTATGATGGGCTTTCCGGGTTGTACGTTTCAGGACATGGATAGGCTGCTCCGTGATTGAAATCATGGGCTTTTAGCCCATCTCTGATCGGTCCCCTTTGTGTGTGTGTGTGTGCTTTGGAGGGAGATTTTTTGGCAGATTTTTGCCTTAGCCAGCCACAGGGTGGGGCTACATCATCCCAAACAACCCACTCTACCCCCATTTAGACAAAAGACCAAAATTTTATTTCGATGTATTATTTTTGTCACCTAAGAAATAGAGACATTTTGATCTATTCTGAAAATATAGTTGAAACAAAAAGAAAATTTGAGAATTATTTTTATAAAATATTGATCTAAATTTCCCAAATTATCTTGAAACATATTGAAATATTGCAAAACAATTAAGTACATACGTCGAAATATTACGAAGCGCGTCGAAACATTACGAAGTATATTGAAATATTATGAAATACCTTGAAATATTAAAATTTCGATTCAATTATTGAATCATTTTAGATTCCTTGAAAACAAAAACGTTACAACCAAGTAAATTTTAATCCTTGCATTTAGATTGGCCATATAATATGATGAGTTAAGCTCAAATAGTCCAATTTATGTGTTAAAGTCCAACCTCATTTTGAATCCACCAAACTCAAGACAGTTCAAGACCGGTTAGACTTTTTGCTTAGCACGTCATCAAGAGGAGAGCATGGTAAACTTATCTGCACCACCGAAGGAAACGGTCCAATCTTTGACCACGTTTTATGAAGAGCTCCCCAACCTCCTCCTTCCGTTGAGGATAAATTGTGATCTCCACCAGAATGATCTTTTAGTGCTATAAAGTAGCCTTGAGGATAAGTCATGATCTCTTAGCTGAGATAAAGTAGCCTTGAGGATAAGTCATAATCTCCACAAGAATGATCTCTTAGCTGCTATAAAGTAGTCTCAATCTGTTAGGAGACTACTATATATGGCATGCCCCACCAACACTTACAGAGGACAGACCGACGACCGGAGACCACTGCTTCTTTGATTCTCCATTCTCTCAAAGCTTGTATCTTTATTCTTCATACCTTTGAATTAATAAAATACACGGCAACTGAAGCCATTGAAGAGTGGACGTAGGTCAAATTGACCGAACCACTATAAATCGTGTCTTTTTTAATTTTCTCATTGATTTCATTGCATTTATTACCTATACTTGACAGGTGGTGTGCAAAATCATTTTTGTGCATCATCAGTTTGGCGCCGTCTGTGGGAATCAACAAAATTCTCACTCCTGAACATTACATCAATTAACTAATGGTGATCACTACTCGATCCATGAACCAACATGAAGACAATCCTCCACGAGAGGAGGAGGTTGCTCCCCTGTCTACCAACCCTGTTCCGGATACTCTAGCTCTGAATCCCCAGCAAATATTGGAGACCATCCAGCAACTGGTTGCTCAAAACCAACAATTACTGCAACTCATACTTACTGGACAAGGAGGAGCACCACACGGAGGTGCACAGCATGGAGGACCCCAAGGTGGAGCACCACACGGAGGTGCACAACATGGAGGGCCTCACGGAGGTGCACAACATGGAGCACCCCAAGGAGCTCCACGTCCTGGACATTAAGGAGCACCACGCCCGGGCACCCCATTGAGCGCCCCACTTCGGGAAGCCCAACATGAGGGAGCTCCACCTCCCCCTCCCCAAGCTTCCCAGGGAGAGGACCCTTATCTCCAGGAGGATGAGGGTGAAAATCAAAGCATGGAGCATGGAAGCCACTTCTATGATCATTCCAGAGGAGCCCCCAATCATTGGGACGAGAAGATAAAGGAGGTACAAAATCAACTGGGTGATGTCTTCAACGCCATGAAGGCACAGGGACCTGAGACTGTTGACCACCTGGTAAGGCGTACTGATACGCCTTTCAAACCTGATGTAGCAAACTACCCCCTCCCTCAGAAGTTCAAAATGTCATCTGTGGAGACCTTTGATGGAACAAAGGATCCACTGGACCACCTCAACACTTACAAGCCCTTGATGCAATTGCACAACGTACCAGACGAAATCATGTGCAGGGCATTCCCAACCACGTTAAAGGGGTTTGCTTGACAGTGGTTTGCTAAGCTCTCCCCCGCCTCTATTACCTCTTTCGCCGAGCATAGCAGATCATTCGTCCCACACTTCATTGGAGGGCGTCGCCACCAGAAGCCAGTTACGCACCTGCTTAGTATAAAGCAGGACCGCGAGGAGAGCCTGAGGAGTTACCTCACTCGTTTTAACGAAGAGGTACTCCAAGTTGATGAACCCGACGACAAGGTGACGATGACCGCCTTCTTGGGTGGCCTCCGTTCATCAAGCTTCTTTTTCTTAGTTCTGAAGCGCCCACCGAAGAGCATGCCAGAGCTGCTAGCCAAGGCCCAAAAGTACATAAACGCAGAAGACATCACAAGGGCCAGACGAGGTGAGTCTTCCAGAGCAGGGGAGAAAAGGAAGGAAAGGGAGAGGGACGATAAGAAGGGGACCGGCAACAAACATGGCAGGACAGAAAAATTCCCTGTCAAGGACCGGCTAGGTCCTGTTCCTCAGAGGAACCGTCAATCCTTCACTCCCCTCAATGCTTCCGTGGAACACATTCTATTCCAAATCCAGGATGACCCCGCGATAAAGTGGCCTAGAAAAATGAAGTCTCCTCCAAATCATAGAAATCCTAACTAGTATTGTCGCTTTCATCGTGACCACGGGCATGACACCGATGATTGCTACAACCTCAAGAGGCAAATTGAGGAGCTCATCCAACGTGGTCACTTACGCCAGTACGTTGCTGGAAAGGAACGAGCACCACAACCTCCCAACCAGGAAGATCAGCAGCCCGTGGGGGAAATCCACACCATCTCAGGGAGACTAGCAGGTGGGGGAGAATCACTTTCCGCGATGAAGGCCCATGCTAGGAAGGCAAGACATGTCTACGAGATGCGCCCATCTAAGGTGCCGAAGCAGGAAGGCGACGAGGTCATATTTTTTTCAGACAAGGACCTCGAGGAAATCCAGCACCCCCATGACGACCCCTTGGTGCTCACCATGACGGTGGCTAATTTTCATGTGCACAGGATCCTGGTGGATAGTGTCAGCTCTGTAGATATCCTGTTTGCAGAGGCCTATGACAAGCTCAACCTGGGCAGGGAGAGGCTACAGCCAATCAGGTCACCCCTCATTGGATTCTCAGGAGAAAAATTGTATCACTTTGGATCTATCACACTTCTCGTCACCGCCGGAGTAACACCCCGAAGCTCCACAGTCATGGTCAATTTCCTGGTAATAGAGGGCCCGTCAGCCTACAATATCATATTAGGGCGGCCAACTCTTAACACATTAAGAGTTGTGCCCTCTACCTACCATCTCGTTCTCCGCTTTCCAACCTCAAATGGAGTCGAAAAGGTCAAAGGGGACCAAATAACAGCCAGAGAGTGCTATGTATCCTCTATGAAGGCTAGGAAGCCCCAAGAAGCATTACAGGTTGAGGTCCTTGACCCAAGGGATGACTCCGCAACAGAAAGAGGAGAACCAGTCGAGGAACACATCCTTGTGGTCTTAGAAAAAGAGCACCTAGACAGAAGAATTTACATTGGCTCTTCCCTTTCTGAAGAGCTGGTTCCCCTGTTGATTGATTTTTTGAAGCGTAATATGGACATCTTTGCTTGGTCGCATGAGGACCTTGAGGACATCGACCTGGAAGTAACTACCCACCGCCTCAATGTCGATCCACTGTACAAGCCTGTTCGCCAAAAGTTAAGGGGAGTCTCCACTGAAAGGGCCCAAGCCATGAACAAGGAGGTTAGAAAGCTGATTGATAACGGGACAGTCAGGGAAGTGGCGACTTCAAAAACTAAACAAGACATGCCCAAAAGATAGTTATCCACTGCCGCAGATTGACCTCCTCATCGACGCCGCCGCTGGGCATGAGTTGCTCACTTTCCTGGATGCATACTCGGGGTACAACCAGATTAGCATGCATCCCCCAGACCAAGAGAAGACATCATTCGTCACGCCAAAGGGGATATACTGCTATAGGGTCATGCCATTTGGGCTAAAGAACGCTGGAGCAACCTACCAACGGCTGGTGAACAAGATGTTCCAGTCTCAGATCGGGCAAACAATGGAGGTGTACGTGGATGACATGCTGGTAAAGAGCCTTGCAGCAATACACCACATTGATCACCTCCAAAAAACTTTCAACGTCTTGAGGTCCTATCACATGAAGCTCAACCTTGAGAAGTGCGCCTTTGGTGTGGGGTCTGGTAAATTCCTGGGCTTTATGGTCAGTCAGAGGGGAATTGAGGTGAACCCTGACAAGATCAAGGCCATTCTTGACATGAAGTCACCCTCCTCAACCAAGGAGCTCCAGCGCCTCAATGGAAGAATCGCAGCATTAAATAGGTTTGTCTCCAAATCTGCAGACAAATGTCTCCCGTTTTTCAAAACTCTCTGAAAAGTCTTTGAGTGGAAACCTGAGGCAGAGGAGACTTTTCAAAGGCTCAAAGCCTACCTAGCAGCACCTCCCCTCATGTCATATGCTACCCCTGGAGAAACTCTCCATCTATACCTTTTTACTTCCCCATCAGCAGTAAGCTCAGTGCTCGTCAGAAACGGCAATGGAGTGCAAAAACCAGTTTATTACGTGAGCAAGGCATACCGGGGGCAGGGTCAGATATTCAGCACTAGAAAAACTGGCACTCGCTCTGGTCACGACAGCGAGACGGCTGCGACACTACTTCCTGGGCCATCGTATGGTGGTCA